TTGTCAAAGATTTCATCTTACTCAGATCCACAATCAAAATGCTTCGGAAAAGAAAAAGAAAAGGAGGAAAGAAGAAGAAGGGGAGGAGGGACCTCCAAAATCCTGAAGATCAATGATGTCAGTTTAAAGACCAAGGTGCACCTGATTCAAGCCATGATCTTTTCACTCACTTGCAATGCCTCTGAGAGCTGAATAAGGAATAAGGATGACAGAACAAAATTGATGTTTTTGTGTTATGATGTTGGAGGAGAGTACTGACTATCTCATGGGCTGCCAAAAGAATTAACAGATATGTCTTGGAGAAAGCGCAGCCATAGTGCTCTGTACAGGCAAGCATGGTGAAGAGTTGTCTCACATTCTAGGACATGTTGTTAGGAGAGGCTATTCCTTAGAAAGGGACATCATGGTTGGAAAAGTGAAGGGTCAGCAAAATAGAAGATAACCCTCAATGAGATAGATTGATACAGTGACTGCAGCCATGGCCTCATATGTCAGAGATGACAAGGATGGCACAAAATAGGACATGGACCTGTTCATTGGGTTGCAATGAGTCACACTGGACTTGATGGCACTTAACATGCAACTCAAAGTGATAATAAGATTTTTAAAATATTAATGAGATGGTTATAAACATGGTATAAAATAGGAAGATCTAACAAATCTTTAATCACAATGTCAGAAGAAGAGATAAATATTACAACAGAAGCAATATTTGAAGAAATGTATGAGAATCCTCTGGAACTAATGGAAATTGGATTGCACAGATTAAAATGACATAAATAAACCCAATAGAATATGTTAAAAATATACCTTTGCATAACATATCACAATGCCATTTCAGAAAACCAAAAGCAGAAAAAAGTTACTTTAGACAAAATGATATTAAACCCTCAGAAATGTATTGATTAGACTGACATCTGATTCGTAGTAACAATGGAACAGTAGTAGATGAAATTAAAATGAGGTAATGTTTTCAATGTTCTGAAAGAAAATAGAAATCTTCCTGTTTAAATAGTCATTGCATGTAAAAGTTATAAAAGAGAGGATCAGATCAACTCAGTGTTCCAAGTTTGAAATTAATCAAGTACGTGGGAGTATAAGAACCTAAGGACATTTTCTCTCATACATTTTCCCATATAACTCCTAAATTTTGCATTAAATAATTCAACTTATCTGTTTCTAAGCTTTTTTTATCTCAAGTAAGGGAAGAAAATAGTCTTACACTACTACAGTCACCTGTGATCATGGTCACTCTCTGGAGATGAATTCAAATATCCTTCTCTCAATCTATGATTTGCCATTGTCCTTGGGAGGCTTCAATCCCTATTTATGCCAATAAATCTGAAATTTATTTCTATAGTACAAACATCTTTATTTAACTTTGCCCATATAATTAAGATAATTTAATTATATTGGTTCTTTAGAAGCCCTGGGAATACTGTGATTAAGACATTCATTCAGCTACTAATAACAAGGTACAAAACCACCGTCCAGTACGTGGGAGAATGATGAGGTTGTCTGTTTCCATAAACATTTCATAACCCTATGAGATGATTCTGCTCTGACCTGTTCAAGAATGCTGATTTGAAATGGACTTCATGGCAGTAGGTATATGGATTCTTGTTGTTGTTGTTAGATGTCGTCAAGTCAAGTAAGACTCACAGTGATCCTATGAACAACAAATCTGAACCCTGTCCTATCCTTTGCCATCCTTATAATTTCTAACACAACTGATTGCTGCAGTTACTATCAATCCATCTCATTGAGGATCGTTCTGTCTTTCATTGACCTTCCATCTTTACAAGTATTATGTACCTCTCCAAGGAATTAGTCTCTTGTAGAAACATGTCCAAAGTATGAGAGATGAAGCTTCACCATCTTTTTTTCTTTTCCCCTGCCATCATTTTTCTCCTAAGGAACACTCAGGCTGCACTTTTCCCAAGATTTATTTATTTGTTCTTTTACTAGTCCATGGTGTGTTCAATACTCTTCTGTAATTCTCTATAGATTGACTGCACAGTCAATAGTTTTTTTAAAAATCGCCATCTTTAATGCTGAACATGTTTTTACAACTCAGATCCCTACCTGTTTTTGTCCCTTATCCTTTTTCTATGTTTACTCTATCAAGTAATAGTATGAATAACCACTAAACTCCCTTGGTCTTAGATAAAAGCAAAGTATACCTACTTTATTTCTTCTCTACCACACTCTCTATATCAATCTATCACAGCATCTTGTATATTTTACCTTGATCTAGTACAAATCTACTACTCTGTTTCTACTAGTGTACCAAAAAGAACTGGTTGTTAATGAAAATTTTCAGGACGTATCATATAAACAAAAGCCAATGGTAATGAAAGAAGAAGTTCAAGCTTCACTGAAGGCATTAACAAAAGATATAGCCCCAGAAATCAAGGGAATACCAATTGACTTGTTTCAACTAACAGAAGCAGCCCTGGGTATGCTCACCAGTCAATGTCAGGAAATTTGGAGGACAGTTGCTTGGCTGACTGACTGGGAGAGATCTGTATTTGTTCTCATTCCCAAGAAAGGTGCTCTACAAGAATGTGGACATTATCAAACAATATCGTTAATATTACATGCAAGCAAAATATTGCTGAAGATTATTAAAAAATGGCTAAACCAGAGCATTGGAAAAAAACCCCATGAGGCTATGGTACCAGGGATATAACTGTTGATGCCAAATGGATCCTGGCTGAAAGCAGAGAATACCAGAAGAATGTCTATTTGTGTTATATTGACTATGCAAAAGCAGTTGCCTGTGTGGTTCAGAACAAACTATGTCTAACATCGAAAAGAATGAGGATTCCAGAACAATAATTATATTCATATGAAACCAATACCTAGACAAAAAAGCTATTGTCTGAACAGAACAACAGAACATTGCATGGTTTATAATCAGGAAAGATGTACATCAAGGTTGTATCCTTTCTTGGTATCAATTCAATCTGTATGTTGAGCAATAATCCGTGAAGCTGGCCTATATTAAGGGGAATGTGGCATCAGAACTGGAGGAAGACTCATAAAATAACCTGCGCTATGACACAACCTTGCTTGCTAAAACTGAAGAGGACCTAAAATACTTACTTCAGAGAATCAAAGACGTCAATTTGGATTGCTTTTCAACATCAAGAAGACAAAAATCCTTACCACTGGACAGGTAGGCAACTCATGATAAAAGAACAAACAGTTGAAATTGTCAATTATTTTATCTTACTTGAATCCACAATCAACATCCTTGATATCAGCAGTCAAGAAACATAATGTATTGGAAAGTCTGCTGTCAGAGACCTCTCCAAATTATTGAGGAGCAATGATATCAGTTTGAGGACTAACGTGTGCTTGATCCAGTGCTTGATACAAGCGCTTGCTATGCATCTAAGAGCAGAACCATGAAGAAGGATTACAAAAGAAGAATTGGTGCCTTCAAGCTGTGGTGTTGGAGAATAGCACTGAATATTCCATGGACTGTAAAAAATGTAAACTGCTATGTCCTGGGAAAAGTGCAACCAGAGTGCTCCAAGGAGGCAAGGATGGTAAAACTTCATCTCACATGTTTTGGGCATGTTGCTAGGCGAGGCTATTCCTTGGAAAGGGATATCATCTACACTCTTCTAATAACAAACTTCCATTTGTCACATTCCTTATGCTTTATTTTAAATGTGTGATCTGTTTTCAGACATTTACATGTTTACTTTCACACATTTATGTGTGTTTTATAATTCTCTCTGACATATATTATTATCCTGTTTTCTATAAAGAATAATCTACAAATACCTTTGAAGGTACAAATATCTTCAAGTGTATCACTCTAGTATTTTCTAAGTGTTTGCGTGAATAGCCAGAGGAGACAAACGAGCCTTGATGTGTTGGATTATGTGCTGGTCTGCTGACTGAATGGTGAGTTGGATAGATCAGCCAGCAGTGTGTTAAGAGAAGACTAGGACCTTAGTCTCCCATTCCTAGTTTTCCTGAGGACCTCTTGATTACTAATGCAATTATTTGCCAAGTGCTGCTCTTAACTATTTTTAATTCTCATAAATTATCTTAGATAATTTAGTTAAGGCATAGACTTTTATTCTGTAAATACTAGAAATTTATTTCCCTATAGTTCCAGAGGTTAGAAGTGCAAATCCAAAGTGTTGACTCTAGAATTATGTTTTGTCTGCTGGTTCTGGGGGCTAGTACCTGAATCTTTCAACTTCTGGAAATCTGGTGTTTAAATATACTTTTTATATTTACCATAGCTCTCACAGATTGTGGCTTATTGTATTAATGGCTGGGGAATAATACCATTACATATCACAAAGGATGGAACTGGGGAAAATACAGAAATGTGGGAGAAAATAGAAATTCAATTCATCACCAGAGGCAAGATAAATATTTTTGTTCGCACTACTTGGCTTTATCTATGATGAAACAATCCTAACAGACAGGTGGTGGCGCTGCAGGATAAGATGGTAAGATTTTTGCAGCGCTGCAAATACTTCGTTCCATTGACCAATGCCACCTAACCTGCCGGAAACAAAGAAGGAAAAACCCCAACAAAACAGGCTTTCAAGAGAAAGGTACCGAGTCAATTACAGCTCCCCCTGTCCGGAATAAGAGCTTATAGAGCTTCTAGGATCCAGGCTGAAAGGTGAAAGAAGCAAATTTCTGAGCTGTGTGAGATAGAGTTGAAGCATTTCTGCAGAAAGACGTTTGCCACCGGAGCCATGAGGACCCAGGAGGGGAGCGCACGGCAGAAAAGGCAAGTGCTGCTTTTCTTTGTTTTCCTGGGAGGGTCCTTAGTGGATGCTGAGACCCGGCGCTATTCAGTGGCGGAAGAAATGGAGATTGGCTCCTTTATGGGCAATGTGGTGGAAGATATGGGATGGAATGTGGACGACTTGGCTGCTCGGGGGCCCAGAGTGATCTTTGATGACTATATGCCCCATTTGCGGTTGGATCCACAGACGGGCAACTTGTTCATAAACGAGCGCCTGGACCGAGAGGCACTTTGCGATCTCGCTGAGCCGTGTGTATTGCATTTCCAAGTGTTATTTGAGAATCCTTTGGAATTTTTTCGGGCTGAGCTTTGGGTCAAAGACATAAATGATCACACTCCTACATTCATAGATAAGCATATACTCCTGAAAATTCCAGAAAATACCATCCCAGGAACTTCATTTCAAATCGATAATGCTCAGGACTCGGATGTAGGAAAGAATGGCATCCAAAACTACACAATCGGTTCCAATCCTTATTTCCGCCTTAGATTACAAAACAGTGGTGAGGGCAGAAAACTCCCAGAACTCGTGTTGGACCAGGCTCTGGACAGAGAACAGGAGCCTGAGCTGAGGTTCACCCTCACCGCGTTGGACGGTGGAGCTCCGCCCAGGTCTGGGTCCACACTGATTCGTATTGTGATCCTGGACGTCAATGACAACATCCCCCAGTTCGAGAAGCCGGTCTATGAGGTCCAGGTGCCAGAAAACAGTCCTCTGGATTCCTTGGTCATCGCTGTATCGGCTATAGATTTAGATGTAGGAACAAACGGAGAACTCACTTACTCATTTTCCCAAGCCTCTAGAGATGTACGAAAAACATTTGACATTCATCCAATTTCAGGTGAAGTTCACTTAAAAGCACTTCTGGATTTCGAGTTAGTGCAATCTTACACAATAAATATTCAAGCCATTGACGGTGGAGGCCTTTCTGGAAAATCAGCCATTCTAGTTCGGGTTGTTGATGTGAACGACAACCCACCGGAAATAATCATGACATCTCTAACTAGTCCCATACCCGAAAACTCCCCTCCTGAGACCGTGGTCGCGGTTTTCCGAGTAAGAGACAAAGACACTGGGGACAATGGGAGTATGGTTTGCTCAATTCAGGACAATCATCCCTTTCTCTTGAAGCCTACCTTCAAGAACTTCTACACCCTAGTAACAGAGCGTCCACTGGACAGAGAGATCAGTACAGACTACAACATCACCATCACCGTCAGTGACTTGGGCACCCCCAGGCTGAAAACCGAGCACAAGATAACCGTGCTGGTCTCCGACGTGAATGACAACGCGCCCACCTTCTCCCAAGCCTCCTATACCCTGTTCATCCGCGAGAACAACAGCCCCGCCCTGCACATGGGCACCATCAGCGCCACAGACAGAGACTCAGGAGCCAATGGCCAGGTCACCTACTCGCTGCTGCCGCCCCACGACCCGCACCTGGCCCTGGCCTCCCTGGTGTCCATCAACGCGGACAATGGCCATCTGTTCGCGGTGAGGTCGCTGGACTACGAGGCCCTGCGAGCCTTCGAGTTCCGCGTGGGCGCCACGGACGCGGGCTCCCCCGCGCTGAGCAGCGAGGCGCTGGTGCGCGTGGTGGTCATGGACGACAATGACAACGCGCCCTTCGTGCTGT